TTGTTTTGGAGAAAGTGAAACAGGCCTGCTCGTTGGAGGCAAGGATTCTGAAGCTTCATCTGACATACTCTGGGAATGTTGCAAGGAGGGACCAGTCCTTAGAATGGGACATCATGTTTGGGAAGACCCTCGATGAGATGGATCAATTCAGTGACTGGGGTAATGGGAGTAGGTGTATTAGAGACAGTGAGGTTGGCACAGGATAGAGCAGGGTTTAGGGCTCTTGTACATAGGGTCATTAAGAGTCCCAAGAGACTCGATGGCACATAACAACAACTACCAGATACTTCTTGGGAGAAAGATAGGCAATCTAACCTCCTAGCAACATCCTTTGAAAAACTACTATAGGGTCAGCTAGGGGTTGGTTTTGACTCAACAGTACACAATAATAGCAAGCATCTGGCTGAAAGGTGACTTATGAAATAGCTTCTACTTCAAATTTAAGAGTGTCTTAGGGTGAAAGTTTTGGGGGTTCAGAATTCTAGTCTCTTACTGGTCTAGTAGATTTGGCCAACTTACTAGAAGAGATCTATATTTGTTCCCATTCTAAAGAAAAGCAATCCAACAGAGTGTAGAAATAATTAAACAATATCATTAATATCACATACAAGCAACATTCTGCTGAAGATTATCCAAATATGACTGGAACAGCACATCAACAGAGAACTGCCAGAAGCACAGGCTGGGTTTCGAAGGGGTCATGGTACTAGGGATATTGTAGCTAATGTTAGATGGATCTTGGCTAAAGCAGGGAGTACCAAAGGAATGTCTCTGTGTTTCATTGATTATGCAAAGGCGTTTGACTATGTGGACCAAAACAAACTGTGGCTAACTCTGAGAAGAATGGGAATCCCAGAAAACTTGACTGTATTTATGTGAAACCTATACTTGGACCAGGAGGCAGTTGTCAGAACAAGAGCAGGGGGAAAACCACATGGTTCAAAATTGGGAAGAGTGTACACCAGGAATGTATCCTATCACCATACCTTTTTAATCTATATGCAGAACATATTACCCAGGAGACTGGGCTCTATAAGGAGAAATGTGGCATCAGGATTGGAGGCAGACTCATCAACAATATGTGTTATTCAGACGACACAAGCCTCCTCACTAAAACTGAGGAGGACACAAAGCACCTCCTGCAGAAGGTCAAGGACTGCAGCCTTCAATATGGATTGAGGCTCAATGTCAAGAAGACAAATATTCTCACCACCGGGTCGATTGGCAGCATCATGATGAGACTGGGTAAAGAGATTGAGATTGTAAATATCTTTTGTTTGCTTGGCTCCACAATCAACACTCTTGGAACCAGAAGCAAGGAAATTAAAAGATGTACTTCATTGGGAAAATATGTTGTCAGAGACCTCCCCAAAGTACTGAAGAGCAATGAGGTCAGTCCAGAGACTAAGGTGAGCCTGATCCAAGCCAGGGTCTTTGTAATCACTTGCTATGCATCAGAGAGCTGGTCAATGACTAGGGATGATAGCAGAATTGATGCCTTTGAGTTGTGATGCTGGAGAAGAGTACTGAATACACCATGGACTGCTAAGAAATGAACAGGTTCGTCATGGAGGGGGTGAAACCAGGCTGTTTCTTGGAGGCAAGGATTCTGAAGCTTCTTCTGACATACTTTGGACATGCTGCAAGGGGGAACCAGTCCTGGGAAAAGGACATCAGGCATGGGAGGGGAGAGATGAGATGGACTGATTCAGTGACTGGGGTATTAGGGATAGATGTGTCAGACACAGTAAGATTTGGGACAGGAAAGAGTAGGGTTTAGTGCTATTGTACATAGGGTTGCTATGAGTCACAGGCAACTCGGTGGCACATAACAACAACATCATGTTATGATAATAATACAATCTGCTATTTATTTATATGAGTTCTTACTATGTAACAGACATGGTGCTAACCGCATCACACACATAATCTCCTTTACCATTTATCCCCAGTTTACCAAAAGTTGTTTTCGTAAGCTGATAAGTGGTAGATTCGGGATCTGAACCTGGGTCTGTGTGCTCCTATGATTCAAACTAATTAGTAGTATCAGGGAATGAGAGACCACAATGACATTTCTCAGTAATACCTAAGAACAAATTAGAGGCTAACGGGTCAGCAAATTTCAAAGGGAACACATGCTTCAACTACTTTCACTTTCTTTGTTCCTAGGGCCACAGTTCCTAGGTGGTCACAGCTGCTGCTATTTCATGGACTCCACAGTTGAGAAGCATTTACGTAAGTCCACCAATAGGCCTAAGTTCCAATTGCTCTTGACGATGAAGTATCAAATGGAATCCACCCTTTGCAAAATTTTCCAATCAGGAGAAAGAATACTAATCTATGAAAAATTACACCAGACTGAAATAACCACGTAATCCAACTACACTGTAAAGGAGAAAGAAAAATGTTTTAAACTTGTGATTTGAATAAAAATTTACAAAGAAATTAGTTTCTGATTCACTCATTTATATAGCTTTATCCCTCTGAAAAGGAGAATTTTTTTAAGGATTAGTAAAGATAAGTTGAATGCTGGCGAGGTTGTGGAGAGACTGCAACCCTTATTCACTGTTGGTGGGAGTGTAAAATGGTGCAACCACTGTGGAAGGTGGTATGGCGCTTTCTCAAAAAGTTACAAATAGAGATACCATTTGACCCAGCAATTCCACTACTGGGAATATACCCTAAAGAGACCATAACTGACATCCAAGCAGATATATGCACACCCATGTTTATTGCGGCTTTGTTCACAATAGCAAGGAGTTGGAAACAACCTAAGTGCCCATCAACAAACGAATGGATAGAGAAGCTGTGGTATATTCACATAATGGAATACTATGCTGCATTGAAAATCAAGGACCTCATGCAATATTATTCAAAATGGGTGACCCCAGAGGACATTATGCTGAGTGAAATATCTCAGTCACAAAAGGACAAATACTGTATGGGTGCCATGTTGTAGAATGAGGCTGACATCAAGGTGGGGGTAAGAGTGAGAAAAACTGGATAAATTATGTATACTGCATTGAAAACGATGAGGGAGAGAACAGTTTAAAAGTAATATATTTTAGGTCACTATGATTATAAAAGTTCGGAATGAGGGTTGCAGAGTAGAGTATACTGGGGTGAGGGTGGGGGGGGTGCAGGGGGATTGTATACCAATGAAGGAGTCTTTCTTCTGCTTTTAAAGAAGAGCAACTGGGGGTCGGAGTGGGGTGGGTGGGGAGAAAAGTGTGCAACAATGAATGAATGGAAATCCACAATCTCTGTAAATGTTCACTGAAATTAATAAATAAAAAAAACAAAAACAAAAAAAAACCAACACACCACAAACCAACTACAAACCTCACACACCCCCCCCAAAAGGATATTACATCCCCAAAGGAGAAATTTTTGTATGTGCTCTTCTACACTCATGGCTCCTAGAATTCATACTTGAAACATAGTAGGATCTCAATTAAGATTGGCTGACTAAATTTTAATAAATACATGTCCTGGAAGCAGCACAATAAAATAGCTAAAACTTTAGGAAGACAAATATAACACAGTAAAGGTAAGAATTAAGTTCTTTATACAAATTCCTATTTTCCTGAAACAGTAAAAATTCCTGCACAGATAGGAAGCCTACTCTTGCTGTTAGGTGCCCTCAAGACAATGAAAACTCAGAGACTTTACAAACAGGGGTGAGACCTCGTCCTGTCCTATAATTCGGAATCTCTGGCACACTCAAGTCCACTTCTACAGTCATATGCCAATCCATTTCATTGAAATCCATTTCATTAAAGACCTATCTCTTTCACTGATCATCTGCTTTTCTCAGCATGATGTCTTTTTCCACAGATTACAACCTCCTGGCAACATATCCAAAGTGTATCCTTAACTTTTCTGTCTTCACTTTTGTTAATGGTGGTAGAGAGACTCTGGCATTGTTGTGGAGAAAACTATGGCAAGGTGTATCCAGAGGAGCCCTGAGATAAAGGCCACAATTAAAGATTTTGCTGTTCTTACCAGGTACCTAAGGAGCAGCTGACTAATAACTACTCTAAGGCAAACCTTGCCGGATGATTTGTATTTGTGCTACTGAACTGAACGGGGACTTGGACTAATTGAGAAACTTTGTCTTGGGACTGCTGGGTTAACATCTGGATTTGTACTGGATAGTATTTTTTGCTTCCTTCCATCTCCAAATTATTTCCCTAATAAACTCCATTCTTGGAACCACAACTGTGAGTTAAATCTGTGAGTCAACAACAAATATTGGACCTCTTGCTACTGGTACGGCTCTAGAGGCACCATGGGGCTGGACTATAGGTTCTTTATCGTTTTGGCTCTGGGGTGGTAAGGAGCCATACTATTCTCACTCCCTCTGGCCCTTTCAGAGGGAGTGAGAGATCTCATGGTCTTCTGCTGTCATGTCCTAATTTATGCTCACTAACCAGGAATCTTTCTGAGAGCCTGTCAACATATAGTCTCATATTACCAAAACTCTGTTTTAAGATAAATATTTGTTATACCGATTCTACAGATAAAAGTGTCACTCAGAATGAATAATTTGCCTAAGGTTCAACTATTTGCCCCCACATCTGTTCATCTATAAAATTCTAAGCTACTAGTTAGCAGGTACCAAATATCTCACATTACTAGGGATAGTTCAATGATTCTTACTGCAATGTAACATTAAGGCAGTTTACTATTACTACCAATCACATTTTTAAAAAATTATTTATTTTATATTGGTTTGCTCATAAAGTCCGTATACATTGTTTTACACTATCCTTCATTCACACTGTGTTTCATAATTACACACCACATTTTAAGAATAAAGACTATTCCACTATAACCTTCCTTTATTTTATGGTAATAACAAATTTTCCTTTTATTAGGTCCTGGTGCCTGTCACAATAAAAAAATAAGTAGAGGTAATAAACATTACTAGAAAAGCTCTAAAGATTACGCTATTTAAGACAATTAGTGCCTCAAAGAGAGCAGGAAATGAGACTCACCTTCAACTTGACTGATTCTCCAAGTAATGTTCCCTTATAATTTGTTGTATAAGTCCAATCGTATGGTTTAATAACTTCTTTAGAGTGTTCACCCTCCGTCCTCAAACACCAAAATGAGAAGGGTCAGAGCCAGTGAAGCAGGCAAACTATATTCTACAGATACTATTAAATACCTAAGCACATAAAGCTGGCATAATTCATTAGTACAACATTTTAACAGTCTTTTAGTATATTTATGGTTACTAAACTTGGCCACATTCTGACACAGTCATTCCAATTAGACTTAAGACTATATATTGGCTGAGGACATAAAGGCCTATAATTTTTAAATCCTCCAAAGTATGTGGTATATAAAAGGCCAAAAGTAAAAAGATGCTGGTTTGATTACTAAAGAAATGTGTATACACACACAATGATGCATATGTGTGTTTATATATATTTTAATATATATAAAACTATGTGTTTAAACATATATGCAACCGTAATTATGTACATATATATATTCATTTCAGTACTCCTTAAATTTGTAACATAATCATAAGTAGACATGTTATCAAAACGAAAACCGTGAAAATAAAGTATACTACTTCTTCACTAAATCCTTTAAACAGTAAATTTTACATAGAAAGCTCAACTGTAATTTAACAATTTAATGAGATACTTTAACAATTTAGTGAGATAACTAACCTCCCTTTTATGAATGAGAGAAATAAAAAGAATTATTTCACTATGGAATTTTTAAAATTCAATAAAATGGGGCCCTTCATGCTAACAAATGCATATGATAAATATGTTTTTCAATCCTTTTTGGTTTTTGTTCAACCCATAACTGCCTCCTTTCTCACCTGCTTTCCTGCCACTCTTCAGCACAGGCTACCTTAAGCATTCCTTGGTAGTTGTTTACACATCTTAACGCATCTGTGGCATTGAACTCAATTCCAAAGCCAGACCCATGCTGGATTCTCAAAACATTGTCTCCAAACATCATTTCTGGTAAGGATGGCATATGCAATTCATCCGCTAACCTTAACAGAACCAAAAGTCAGGAAAGATTCTTTTATGTCAAGCACAATATAGTTGTAAAGTATATAAAATGCTTTCATTATCTATTCTCTATGCGTATGTATTTATGATGCTGTACTAGGTACTGGCCTAAATAAGTAAATAATTATGTAAGGCCAGATACAAGAAAAAAACAAAGCAAGGTTAAAGTACAGTATAGGGGCCAATTTTAAGTATGGTCATAGATTATGTTCTCTTAGGGAGCTCTGATGGCCTAGAGGTAAGAAGCTATCCTGCTCCATGGGAAAAGGATGGGCAATCTCTTCCTGTATGACCTACTTACTGCCTCTAAAAACCCACTGGAGGGCCAGCTATAGGTCATTTCCAACTCAATGGTACACAACAACAACACTGTGAAATTTAAGCTTCAAAATTATTCTGTTAGCTAAGGCTCAGAGAGTTCATATGGATCATTCAAATTTACAGAGCTAGCAAGGGGTAATAGAAGGTCTATCTTCATTATGTATGACATAAAAGAAATTAACCAAAGATTTCACAGGGCAGCTCGAAAGACAAAGGAAAAAGGACATTAACATGTTGCCGCAAATGACAGCAAATGTGTTTCAAAGCACAGTCATCAATTTAAAAGTGTTAAAATTCAGACGTTCTCAAGTTTAAAGAAATGAAAAACAAATTCAACTTCTGAGTTGCATTATTAAGAGATGTTAGGTGCAAAATCTTGAATGATCCTGGAAACATTAAAAGAAGATAGAGGGAATACACAGAATTATACAAAAAAGAATTGGTCCACATGGAAATACTGTAGGAGGTTATCATATGATCAAAATTTTGGAAAGAACTTTTTGTTTTCTGCATGGATGATGGCATCCCACAGCTCATCTGGTCTCTGATTATTAGTGTGTAATACCTCAAACCCGTTCTTAAGGTGGTTTTTAAATTCAAGTGACAAAGACCCAAGCTCAGATTCTGGTTCTTGTGAATTTGTTTTCATTTTCTTTACCTTTAGTTTGAACTTACACATGAGTAGGTGATGGTCATTTCCACAGTCAACATCTGGCTTGATTTTGACTGCTGATTCTGAGACTCCTCCAACGATTCTTTCCACAGATGTAGTTAATCTGATTCCTTTATAGTCCATCAGGTGAGGTCCATGTGTATAGTTGCTATTTGTGTTTCTTTTATAAAAAGTATTTGTAATGAATAACTGATTGTACAAAATTTAATCAATCTATCTCCAACCTCATTTCTGTAACCACATTTTCCTTGTTCCAGTGTTTGCATTCCCTCACCAATTACTATTCATGAATCTTGACTGTTTGATAGATTTGAAAAGTTGGTAGAAATTTTCAGTTTCCTTCTCTTTGGTTTTAGTTGCTGGTGCTTATATTTGAATGATAGTTGTATTAAAAGATCTTCCTTGTATGTGTATGGATAGTATTCTGTCATTCACAGCACTGTATTTCAGGATGAATCTAGCAGTGGTCTTTTTGTCTATGAATACACACTTATTTTGTCACTTTTTCATTTCTGACATAGTAGATCATATTCTGATTCAAAGGGGCCAGTGCCAATCCATCTCAGCTCACTAATGCCTAGTATGTCAATCTTCACATGTTCAATTTCATATTTTACATTGTCTGATTTTCTTACACTCATACTGCGTTCTTATTCTTGGTGGATGTTTGAAAGAGTTCTCCTCATTTCCCTTCCAACCTGCAGCTTCTGCCTCCAGTTTAATACCTAATTGTCTCACTGTGCTCTGGTGTTCGTGAAGTTTACTTACAGTTAAATAGCTATTTAAAAATCCAGTAATCTTAAAGATAAAAAAGGAAAGAACATCCTTTAGTCTAGTCAAAAAGCTGTCATAGAGTGCACTCAACTACTGTACAATATTCAGGTCCTTTAGCATTTCAATCAAAACCTACTGAAACTTAAATCACGCATATGTTAGAGCCATATTATCAGGAGGGGTCAGTCTTTGGAAAAAGACCTCATGTTTGGAAAGAGGAAAGGTCAGAAAGAGAGGAGCACCTTCAAGATGGATGGAACCGTTACTAACAATGGACTCAAGCATGTCAAAGATCGTGAGGATGGCACAAGATAGGGTAAGTTTCAGATGTGTTGATAATAGGGTTATTGACAACACTTAACAACATAACCAAAGACAGAGCAGGAAGAAAACCAAAATGGATGTCAAGAGACTCTGAAAATACACTGGAATGCCAAGAGGAAAAAATCAAAGGAAGAAATGATGAAGTAAAAAAGCTGAGAAGGAGATTTCAAATGGCAGCTCAAAGCTAATAATATTTTTAAGAATTATTAAAAAATGTGCTAAAAGTTGAAGTGAGAACATCAAAGGGCAGAACTTGCTTGGCATTTCTCAAGCTGAGAGAACTAAAGAACAAATTAAAGTCTTGTGCTGCACTAATTAAAGATGTTATGGGCAAATGATTCAGGAAGCACCAAAAGAAGATAGAACCCTACAAAAAAAATGGCTGACAAGGAAACATATGAGGTAGAAGTATATGATCGAAACAAATGGGAATGAAGAAGCCCAACACCTTTGAAAGCACTGGCAAAAAATAAGACCCCAGGAATTAATGGAATGCCAATTGATGTGTTTCAACCAAAAGATGCAGCCCTGGCAGTGCTCACCAGGTTGTCCCAAGAAATCTGGAGGACAGTTACTCAACCACCTGACTGAAGAGATCCATCATTATTCCCAGTTCCAAAACAAGGCGATCCAACAGAATGTGAAAATTATCTGATAATATCACATATAAGCAAACTTTTGCTGAAGATTATCCAAAATTTGGTATATGGACAGAGAAATGCCAGATATTCAAGCTGGATTTAGAAGAAGCCGTGGTAGTAGAGATACTACTGCTGATGTCAGACAGTTCTTGGCAGAAAGCAGAATAACAGAAGGATGTCTATTTGTGTTTAACTGACTACACAAAGGCATTTGACTATTTGGATCACAATAAATTATGTCTAACACCGAATCCTAGCATATACTCATTGTATAAATAATACTCAGACAAAACCTATACCAAGACTAAGAGGTTGTTGTCCCAGCAAATCAAGGAAGCACTGAATGGTTCAAAATCAAGAAAGGAATGCATCCGACATGTATCCTTTCTCCACACCTTTTCAATCTATATGCTAAGCAGATCATTGAAGATGCTGGCCCTTATGAAGAAGAGTGTGGCATTAGGATCAGAGGAGGACTTTTCAACAACCTGCATTATGCAAATGACACAAAATTGTTCAATGAAAGTAAAGAGAACTTGAAGTACTTGCTGAGGAAAATTGAGGACTACAGCCTTCAATATGAATTGTATCTCAACATCAGAAAACAAAAATCCTCACCACCAAGCCAAGAGGCAGTAACATGATAAATAGAGAAAGAACTGAAGTTATTAATTATTTCCTCTTACTTATATTCACAATCAACACTCTTGGCACCAGCAATCAAGAAATCTAAAAATGCAAACAACTAATGCTGGCGAGGTTGTGAAGAAACTGGAACCCTATTCACTGTTGGTGGGAGTGTAAAATGGTGCAACCACTGTGGAAGGCAGTATGGCGCTTTCTCAAAAAGTTGGAAATAGAAATACCATTTGATCCAGCAATTCCATTACTGGGAATATACCCTAAAGAAACCAGAACAGCCACCCAAGGATATATATGCACACCCATGTTTATTGCTGCTTTGTTCACAACAGGAAAGAGCTGGAAACAACAAACAAATGGATAAAGAAGCTGTGGTATATTCACACAATGGAATACTATGCTGCATTGAAAAACAAGGAACTCATGAAATATTCTACAAAATGGGTGACCCTGGAGGACATTATGCTGAGTGAAATATCTCAGTCATAAAAGGACAAATACTGCATAGTGCCACTGTTATAAAATGACCTTGGGTTTGGGGGAAAACTAAGAAAAGAGGAGATAAAGAATATACATTGCATTGAAACAGATGAGGGAGAGAACTGTTTAAAAGGGATATATGATTAGGTATTATCTGCATAACAAGAGCCAGAAAAAGAGCTGCATAGTAAAGTGGACTGGGGGCCATATTGTATAACAATGAAAGAATTTTTTTTTCAAAGAGAAAAGAGAACTGGAGGAAGGGGTGGGCAGGAAAGAAAATGTGCAACAATGAATGAATGGAAATCCAAATCCTCTAAAATCTTTCATTAAAATCTCAATTTAAAAAAAATAAAAAGATGAACTGCATTAGGAAAACCTGCTGTCAAGAACCTCATCAGAGTACTAATGATATCAGTCTAAAGATTAAGGTGCGCTTGATCCAAGCATGGTATTTTCAACTGCTCGCTATGCATCTTAATCTAAACAATGGTGAAGAAGACAGAAGAATCGATGTGTTTGAGTTGTGGTGCTAGAAGAAGAGTATCAAATATTCAATGAACTGTTGAGAGAAAAAACATGTCTGCCCTGCAAAAAGTGAAACCAGCATACACTTTGGAGACAAGGATGGTAAAAGTCTCTCTCACATACTGGCATTTTGTCAGGAGATGCCAGTCCTTAAAGAAGGACATCATGTTTGGAAAGGTGGAGGGTCAATGCATGTGAGGAAGACGATTAACAGGATGGACTGACATAGTTACTGTAGCTATGGGGTGAAGTGTGTTGGAAATGTTGAGGTTGGCTCAGGGTAAGACAAGGTTCAGAGTTGTTCATAGGGTCACTAAAAGGCACAGTCAACTTGGACAGCACAAAACAACAAGGAGGAGGAAAGGTGGTTTTGTGATAAGAAGCAATGCTACTAATCAAAAGGCACATAGTTTGAATCCACTTTCAGCTCCACAAAAGAAGAATGGGCAATCACAACCTCTGAAAACTGATAGAGGATCAGGTATGGGTTGGTTCCCACTCTATGGTACATAACAACAAGAACAAGGAAAGATAAGGAGACTTGGGTGTACAATGGCTAAGCACATGACTGTAAATTCACCAGTTCCACAGGAAAAAG